GTATTACTAGCTTAATATGTTGCTGATTTTATTTATTAAAGGTTCACTACTTTGGGAGAATTAAATATACTCTGATTTATGAAAGTATTTCTTATGTCTGTGTATTTAGATTGTATAACCAAATATATTTTCACTTTATTAAAATTTACAAAGTTGAAAACTGAAGTATGTAATGTTATATATCCTTATTTCATATTGCGATTTTTTTCTTCCATATATAAAGCAGTTGAAAGAATTCCTTTTTTCATAAATTTATTTTCTAAGAAATGACATTTAAATTTCTTCTATACGTCTATATTAGCAATTTAGTGATATTTCTTGTGACTTTCTTTTTAATAACAATGTCCTATCTTAGTGTTTTGATTTCCTAATAATTAAAATATTTCTGACACTTTTGAATTATTTCCCCTCAAATGTAATATTCTCTTGCTTGATTTTAACAAGTATAAAGATTTTGATAACTTTGATACCTTTTAGAAAATAAAGGAAAACATGGCCTTTTTTATGTGATTCAGTGTTTAACTTCTCTTAGCATTAAGTGAATGATGAAAATCTGAGTGAACCTTTTCACTGTTTTCCACAGGGAAGAGACTTCCACCTTAGAATATTGTTGCCTGAAGATTTACAGCTGAAGAATGCAAGGTGATTTGGTGTTTAGTTATATACATGCATCTTGGTGGGACAGGTAGTAAATCTGGTATAAACTGATTCTAGTGACTAGAGTTTTATCTCAAATGCTTATTAGTTAGTCAACTAGAAGGAAACATTTCTGATTTTTCCAAACCAGTGTGGCATTCGTAAATAGCTTTCCCTGATACTAAAGTGCTTTCCAAAGTTAACACATTTAATTCTCTAATTTTTTTTTCATTTAAAGCAGTAAACAGCAATTGTGTACACTTCACTAACAAGTACTGAACAGGAGTATAAAGGGAGAATAGAAAAGGATTAGAAGGCTTCTTTTTTCCCAACTTTTGACTAATGTTATTTAGTGTATATTCGTTCTATAGGAAGACCCATACACAGTTCAGTCCCATTATAAAGTTGGGTACCAACATGGGGCATTGGTAGAGACAACTATTCAGGATATGAGACTGAAATTTTAGGTACTGCCACAAATCTCAGTTCTACTTCTAAATATCCCTTGGGGAGAGTGGAGAAAAAGGAATCAGAGATATTTATGAGTAGAATTGAGAGGATTTTGTGACTGATTAGAAGTGTAGGTAAGAGGGAAAGGGGAGTGGAGGATTCTTTCCAATTTCCTGTTTTAGGTCACTAAGCTATAGAAGAGATTACAGATGGAGGAAATGGAAGGGAGATTGTTTTAAGGCATCTTGGATGTGAAATATCAAGAGGAACAATTTGGTAGGTAGTGGTGTTCTGGTGTGGAACTAAAGTGTGAGTCTTGGAGTGGAGATATATGTAGTAGTCATAGTGGGCATAGGATTTGGGGCCATGAGTATGAATAGACTTTCTGGTGCCTCTATCTGGGGAGTGAAAAGAGAAGGCCCATGACAGGACCTTGAAGGCATACCAACATTCAAAGTACTGGTAATTAAAGAGGAATTTGCAAGGAGACTGAGGATTAACCAAAAAAATAAGAAGAAAACTTGCACAGTGGTGTCTCTTCAAGTCAAATAAAGAGAACCTTATGGAAGGAACGATTAACAGTGCTGAGTGTTGCAGAGAGATAAGGTTGGATATGAGAATGTTTTGTGCAGTGATAGAAGCTAGGTTGTGTTGGGTTTTGAACTGGATGAGTGGATAGAAAGAAAATGGAAACAGTATGAACTACTTTGAAGAAAACAGTGGCTAGAGAATGGTGTACATTCAAGGGAAGAATTGTGATTTTTTTTTTAAAGATGTTATGTACATGAGCTAGTTAATTCATTAAGGAGAAAAAAACTTACAGAATATAAATAAAGATACCACAGTAAAGGGATAATTTATGAATCAAAGTTACGAAGTTGGTGGCAAGGAATGGAAAACACATTTGGAGAGATTACCAATGGACAGTTGAATGAACTACTCTGCCACTAAGAGAGGAGATGGGGTGGGTATTGAGGTTCACAGATAAAGAATGGAGAGAGTCATGATGGTTTGAAAAGGCCATCATCAGGGAAAACTCAAGAGAGGCTTCCTACTTCTAGGTAAGTAAAAGTAATTCCTTAGAAGAGTTCTATACCCAGCAACATTGAGAATACAGCTGAGGTGAGCTAGTAGGTGGATGAACATTTACTTATTGCTACTTATACAATTAAGAGTATGTATCCTTTTAGTTACATTAACCTGGAATTTGAAGATTACATTGCTACATAAGTTTTTCAAATACAAGTTTGATATATTACGATCAAAACTGTTGGTTTTATTTAACCTATCTTGGAGAGGAATCTAATTCAATGGAAAACTTTGCTTCAGATATATTAAAGATAAAAAAAGATATACTGTTTGCCTGTCATTTACTGATTGCAGTTATTTATATTTTGAAATAAAATTCGTACCAACAATTTGAAGACAAGACTTTATACAGTATCAGTGGTAAAAATTTTATTAACTTGTCAGAATTATGTTTATGGCATTCTTTTGTATGTACGTGCTTGTTTACGTTAGCATACAAATAAATTTTTTCCTTTTAATTCAGAACAATGAACAGTTTTGTTCCATTAAAATTTTAGATTACTATGTAGTTGGCAGCTGAGAACAGTACTTAATGGATACCATCAAATAGTCCAACAGGTAAGTCTTTTTTAAAAGGTTTATGTATGAAGTGAAGGTAAGAAACTACTAATTTACTCTTCTTTTAAAGACCTACTTTGCAGAATGTTGTAACAAACTGGTTTAATGGCTACTGAGTTCTTTAGGTTTCATCTCTGTATATGAAGTATGTTAAGGATCCATACATTATATATAATGTGTTTTCTACTTCAGTATCCTCAGCATATATATCCTATATCCTCTAGGCAGCATTTATGTTGAAACTGGTTTCCATCTTTGAGACTTTAGGTTCTTCAAATGCATTCAACTTTATCCATCATTTCTTGAGTGATTTTTCTGCTGAGACTGAATAGCAGTGGTAGGAAAAAAAATCCAGACCCATTTAGAGTTATAGGATATCTGTGGCAAAAATGGAGTTCAGATTAGCAACAGAAAAGGTGTGGTGGAAATCGTTTAGGATCATGTGTACTTGCATAATTAGAGGACTTAAAGGCAGCTTAGGTGACACATAGGCAGGATTAATTGAGTTAATGTTTAGGTTCATCTGCTTGAACATTCCTTAAAAGCAGCGGTCCCCAACCTTTTTGGCACCAGGGACTGGTTTCATGGAAGACAATTTTTTCCATGGGCGGGGGGCAGAGGCGGAGCTTAGGCGGTGATGTAAGGGATGGGGAGTGGCTGTAAACACAACTGAAGCTTCACTTGCTGGCCTGCAGCTCACCCCCTGCTGTGTGGCCCAGTTCCTAAGTTTCGTGGAAGACAATTTTTCCGTGGATGTGGAGGGATGAATGGAGAGAGGGGAAGTGGGGGAGGTAGAGCTCAGGCAGTGATGCAGGCCTGATTCCTAACAGGCCATGGTTCTGGGCCGCTGCCTAGGGGTTGGGAACCGCAGCTTTAAAGATTAGAAAAACTTAAAAAGAAAATCACTTTTACTTACTGAAGCAAAAATAAAATGCCTCTTGTAGAAAAATAAATGTTAGTAGAATTGCATTTCTTTGGATGCTTTAT